ATAAAAGTTTTCCAATGGTTTATGATAGAATTGAAAATGTAAACCATTATATTTTTGACTTATAGTGATGATGAGTCTAGAATTCAATAATCATTCAACTGACTTTAGTTATATTTTCATTAAAAATTATAAAATCTCTTCTATACAATCATATATCGATCATTATCAGTATGGGGTTTCGAAGATATTTAGGTTTTCGATTGAGATCATCAACTGATTGATGTTAGACCATCACCAGCAACACTGGACGGCCGTCCAGTGCTTCCAGGTATTCAATGGTCATCTTACATCAATTGGTTCATGATCTTAATCAACATAAATCGATAATTTCTCTTCACAGACTGTCAATTCGAACGATTGATCTATCTTGAAATGAATAAAGAGACTGCTTGTTTTTTGACTAACATTTCTAATGAAACGCCATTCTACGCGGGGTTCACTTTTCCATACACTAGTCACTACACAATCCTTCTATTCTAGACTTATACTATTCATTGTGACTTTATGAGCCGCTTGTTTTCAGGTAATCTATTCGCCAATAAAAATACGACTTATTCACACTTATACTTATCTGAATTAATGACATCCAGCCGGTCTAATCAGCCTGGCGTCCTAATGTTTCCTTGCTTATCAAGCCCATCCACTTGAGTTCAACAACAGCATCCATTATGCGAATCATGTATTTCAGACATACTGGGTTTATATACCAGCCAAACAGACTGCAACGCAGCATAAAATACAAAATAACACTCATACACAGTAACGCCAAAATGTGTCTGTGAACGTGGGAGACGGTAATTAATAAACTGAACGTAAACTAAGAACGATATAGCATATACTAATAATCTATAGGTTAAATTGAAGCTTATAATAAGAGGAATATAGATGTCTACAGTCCATTTACTGAATATGTATACCCTAAGAATATATAGATAATATTAAACGATTATTAGGTTTCAGACGTTACTCGTAATTCAAACTTCACTAGGATATAACAATCTCCATGTATAGAATATATATATTAAAGCAGCATAATTGATTACTGTCATTAATGTATTATTAAAATAAAGAAATGAATGCATTGTTGCCAATCTAAAGGAATTATTCTGAAATAAACAATCTAAATGAGGCTTCTGAAGAGTATCGGCTATTCGGAAATACGAAACTGCAAGTCATTTACCATAGTACACTCGTAAATTCAGACTAAATGAAATGTTTGTTGGCACTCATAAGCTTGAATACTTTACCGCTGATTTGATCACATACTTGAAATAGTGTTCCATAGTAGTTCAATGGAAAATCCGTACTTGTTTTTCTATAAGCATAAAACCTTTTTACTTTTATGAATGCCAAGAATTATGAATTTTAAGTAAAGCAAGGATTTCAGTTGGCTAAATTCAGTAAGCTAACTAAAATCAATACTCGATGATTATTATTATTTAACTTATGAAGTCATAGAGTAAATGCCAAGGAACCAGAGAAATAAGTCACACAGAATGGATCATAGAAATTCAATACAAAAGTAACGACGATATGTCATACTCATTTGATGGCAAAATCGAGATTACAATATTTACACAATTCAATTTTTAAATTTATCATTTCAAACTATTATTTGAAGCACAGATTTTTTCCTTGCGTTCGAGGAATTCGCTTTCTTATTCCTCTGAACACTTCACAGCTTGACTATGCAAAGATGTGTTTAGAAATATCGACAGTTTGTTCTTATTCCATCTAGTTTCAACGAACCATAAAACCACCATTAATTAATCAGTCCTAGTCATCTGAAGTGTTGAGAGATATTTATCAAAGGTTATCAGGCTTCCAATCCTTCAAACGATGGGGGCGACATTCATACCAAATAGTACAATACTCTTGATATCAAACACAACTTGCTTAACTCCGCTTACTATCGTGATCAACACAATTTCAAATAAACTATTGATAAAACTTAACACGGACACTAAACACTCTAGAATATTAGTGATCATAGATGGTAATCATTGAAATTTCATAACTATTTAATAACTTTTCCTACCTGGTGTATCAAATTCTGGCATTATTCTTATTCCTAGTAAACGAGCATATTTTAATAAATATTTCACATCGTTCGGCGTATAGATTAAAACATACGGGTGAAATGCTCCCTGAAATTAAACGTATGAAAGAATTTCAAATATATAAGATTAGTTAAAAAAAAAGAATAAATTGTATTTTTAAAAACAATGCTCTGTAGTTTAAAGTTAAAAATCCTCAAATAAAAAAGCATTGCTCACAATTGATTGGTCACTGGATGGTGATAAATGTCATGTGTGTCAAGTCCTTCTCAGTGCAGATCGAATGCTATCGACCAAATTGCAATGTGGCCACTAGTTTAGGTGACTCGACATTGCGTACACTATGTTGAGATAAGATAGTGGTTGGAGGTAGTCAGCAGAAAACCCCGAACTCGTGTTTCGTGCTATTTGACACTTGTCAGCAAGGTGTACGTGTTATCTTGAGGGAACTGATGCTCCCTGTGGTTAGGTTAGACTATGAAGCTGGGTGACACGAGATCGAATCCGCTAGGTAGTATCAGTTCCCACAAGAACAGGTACACCTTGCTGACGAGTGTCAAGTAGCACGAAACCCGGGTTCAGGGTTTTCTGTTGACTACCTCCAACCACCGTCTTAAAAAACTGTCCATACTCAGATAAACACGTATTTGAAAATCTTTCTCTTAAACTTTGAAGAAAGTTTCGGAAACGTTTCAGATACATAGGGAAAAGATTGATCGCCCACAATATGCCAATGAAGTACATTCATTTTCACCATTGACATTGAATCCTTTAAAGTATAAAAGTAACCAAAGTATGAATTTTAATCATGTAAATGAAACTTATTGAGGATTTATTATGACGGATTGAAGCCAAATTTGATTACTAAAGGATATATAAGATGTCTTCGTGATTCCTTATTGTTGATCAAACGTAATTATCGATTATAAAGAACTTATTTATTAGCACAAACTATGTGATTGTTTGAAATAGCTAGATGGGTCAGATAGCCAGAACAGAGTTTGTCGACTATTGAGATCCACAATTTGACACTATAATGAACATCACATAACGTTCTTACCCTTAATTTCAAAAGTGACACATAAAATATAACTACGTTCAAGGCATGTCTTGATAATTTATGATAAATTGAGCACTGGGTATAATTGTAATATCGACTCTCAACCAACACCAAGGTCAGGATTCTCAATACAAATGTCAAGACAGTTCTACTGTATGAGGCGGAAACCTGGTCTATGCAAAATACTTCGGATCCGTTGGCCGGACACTATTAGCAACAACCTACTGTGGGAGAGAACAAACCAGATCCCAACGGAGAAAAAAATTAAGAAGAATAGCTGGAAGTGGATAGGACACACATTGAGGAAAGCACCCAACTGCGTCACAAGACAAGCCCTCACCTGGAACCCTCAAAGCTAAAGGAGAAGAGGAAGACCAAATAACACAATTCGCCGGGAAATGGAGACAGACATGAGAAGAATGAACAAGAATTGGATGGAACTAGGAGAGAAGGCCCTGGACAGAGTGGGTTGAAGAATGCTGGTCGGTGGCCTATGATCCATTAGGAGTAACAGGCGTAAGTAAGTAAGAAAGTAATTGTAATATCACAATGAATAGGGAATCACATTTTCTAACGTTTAGTCACTTAATGTAAGTCACTTCTTCAAAGAATAAATAACCAAATCAAAATTCATCCAAGTTTTTGTACTATTTAAACTTGAATGAATTTCAATTTGGTTATTCAGTCTTTAAAGAGGTGGCTTACATTGAGTCATGGAACGTCAGAAAATTTGGTTTTCTACTCATTAAGATATTACAATTATATTATTTGATTTATAATTATATCCATTTATACATTCTGTTACTAAAGTAGATTATGTCATAAACATGTTATGCACTCTGATGTCTAATCCGTATGAACATTATATTGAAAATGTCTTAAAAATGTAGATAAATATTCTCAAACTGCACATTTAAATTTCATTGAAGGCATGAAATCCTCAGAACAGTCTCAACATCTCCTAAGAGATATATATAACCAATCATTTCATAGTAATTTCATCACCTTGACGACTGGAGGCCTAGTCTGTAATACGGGTAATACGGGTTGCTTGATGTAAGTTTTTCTCAAGAAGATTGAAGGACATTATCTAGTATAGTCGAAAATAAGCAGAAGTGGATCAATGAGGCACCACATAATTGAAGAAATTATGAATATGGATCATCAGATCACAGCAGGCTCAGGGATCCAAATCATGTAAAAGGTGAACAAAAACTTTCTAAATACGTCAAGCTCCTGTTTTCTAAACATTACTGGAGCCATTGTGACACATTTAGAAAAACCCAACCTATGTAAACAAAAGAAACCTGTTCAACCTATTCGTGTTTGGTTTTAATTTTCAAAATTAGTTTCCCTCTCCATCTGCTTCACTAGTGACATTTTTCTCTCAACCGAATTATTTCCTTTCTATGCCCTCTCTTAATACATTTCATTTTTTTTTCAATATTATGCAATCCTTTTTCCCAATTATTATTTTCTGATTGAAATCATGAGTCAGTTGTAGCTAGACCACTATGGAAAACCTGGAAGCACTGGACAGCCATTTTGTCCTATTGTGGAACTCCTCAGTGGGAGTTCACATCCACGACCTGCTCTCCTGCGAGATTCGAACTCAGGACCTACTGGTTTTGCGCACGCGAGCACTTAACCATAAGACCACTGATTCGGCCAGCAACCAACGGTGTTAATGTCTATTTTCAACTAATCCACGAAATCGAGCCACACATATAACGTTTGACTAATAGTAGCTAGATTAATCATTTCATACAATCTAGTTAATATGAGTGTTTCAATAAGTTTAGTTATACTTTAATGAGAGTTATAAGTGTGTAGATATTAAACATAAATATTAAAAATTTCTTCAGATAATATTTTATACTTACAAGGAATTTCTCAATCTCTTTCAATGATAAATAATGTCTAGATGTATCAATTAAAAATCCTCTATGGGGAAATGATGGTTCATCCCAAATGAGACCACCTTCAATCATGTTCTAACAAAAATAAATTAATGATTATCTAATTTCACATTACTGTCTCTAGTGGACTTCTATAAATTAACGGAAGTATTGTTTCTAATCCATGTAATATTCCCCAGATTTCTTCGGATTTTAAGATTATTCTCTTACTGAAAATAAAAAGTGAATCTGTGATATAATAATTTCGTTGAATAAAATAACATACACGTCTCAATGATTGATTCAGAAGGCCATAATTCACCATTTGACTCGTTACATCCCCTAGTGATTGATATTTTGATGGTATCGATTGTAGAATTTGGTAAACAAATAGGAACTTTAGGATATTGTTTTATTAATGTGAGACGTTCTTCAAAACGTTTTAATGCTTCCGTTAAAATATAACAGCTTTTGTATGAATGATTGTACGTCAACACTTCAACAAGATTATGATAAATTCCTGTCTTATGATGTTTATAAGCTTTAGGAACTATGGAATGACATTTAGAAATATAATAAACTACAATAAACAATAAGTATAGAAAACAAGTTATGGAACATTTCATGACTCTTTCTAGTTCGACTGTGTAAGCGCGATTTGTACTTATATATTCACTATTACTGACCAATCAAAATTGAATTGATGCTATCTCATATATGAATGGTTGAATCGTTTGCAAATACTAACAGATCTGCATCACTTCACTATTTTAGTCATGAAAACATGATTGGTGGGTGTTCATTTAAAATGTTCACGATAAAATTCAATAACCTAAACATAAAGCTTGAACAAGTACTTTCTCAATATAAATGTGTAACTTGGAATGTTACAATCAGGTTCTAATAGTTCATTATAAATAAAGTATAGCGACAGATTATCAATTGGTTGTTTATTCATTCATTCATACATTCAACAATGCTTGATAAAGAGAATAACTGAAATAACATTCAACACTTTCTATAGATTATCGCACAGTATTAGTGCCAGGATTATTTTTCCCCCCGTTTTTATGTCAATAATACATTCGTTATATGCCATATGTCAGACTCAATACAGATTAAAAGCCCGAAAGATAAGTATAATTTGTCTCCAGTAGAAATAGTCACTGTTATGACTAAGAAAGCTCGACTTCCAGAATTTGATCGTAGTGACCCTGAGTTGTGGTTTTCTCAACTAGAGCATTATTGCACGAGGCACAATATTCAATATGAAGAGATTGGGTACCAATATATATGCTCAGTCCTCCCCCCTTTAGTTCCTATAGAAGTCCGCAACTTAGTTTTGAGTCCCTAAACGTCACAATCACACACCATTTGTAGACGTGAGATAATGAACCGTCTATCTTTATCAGACAGATGATGAGCCTAAAGTCTTTTACAGGGAGAAACATTGGGTGATAGGTCACCAAATTTCTTACGTCACCTCCAATTCCTAGAGGGCGGCAATATTGTGGGTGAAGCAATCCTAAAACAAGGATGGATACGACAAACCGAACCAGATAGGTACCCAATAACCCATATTCAGGATTTTACAAATGGCTTACAGTGTATGGACATATTTATTGAAACTGACTTGGTCATGAAGTATCACAATATCCCAGTAATAATAATGATGATAATAATAATAAATTTATATTCTGAAAAATAATAATTACAGAATTGACGCCAGTTTACAGGCATGATCAATTTGATATAAGTAATAACGTGAAACGTGCAGAAAACAAACATGTGGTAAAAGAAAGTTTTAAGTATACTAGTTCAGTAATTGTTTAAGTAGTACATATATTACAGCGATCCAAAGCATCAGCCGGGAATTTTTAATATTTCTTAAATCGACAGCCTGTTGATTTATGAACGGTGTAATTAAGGTGAATTCGTGTGCCAGATCGAACTAATGATAATTATCTACAACTAGAGAAATTAAAACGAAAACAGAGAGCACGGAACAACAAAAAAGTAATTACCAAAATATATTAATCAGGTCTACCTCAATGCGTGTGTCATGTGACACAGTGATATACTGTTTGTGTTATTCAAATTAGTTAAAGTTGCTAGGGGCAGTGTTGGCATATTGACAGCAAGTGGGTGGTTTTACTAACGGGATTCACTAATAAAGATGGCTAAACATTTAAGGTTCCTAAAATATTACTTGTGGAATGAGATACACTTAAAGGCGCTAGACCATTCAATGCATTTTCAGAAGAACAGTATGCATCGATGCAGCGAACAAATAATGGGAGTGATTTTATTGTGCGGATAGGTTGTGGTAGGTTATTCCAGAGTCTAGAGAATTTACAGGTGAAGTAATTCATATAAAGAGATGATTTAGAATGAGTTTGTTTTACTAGTGCCAAGGAATTACGTATGTTATAATGAGAGGTTTCTGCATATTGAATCGCGTGATCTGATGTAAACGATAGTTTATGAAGTAGTTTGAAGAAAAAGATAACATTTAGTTTGAGTCGCCTCCTCCATAAAGGGTCTAGCCCAAGTTTATTACATCTAGAATTATAAGTTAAGGTACAATCAGCTCCAAGAATACGAAGTGTAAATCGTCTCTGTACTGATTCCAGCCTTAATTTATCATTTATGAGAGCACTGCTAAGAATAAACGTGCAGTATTCCAGAAGAGGTCGAGAACAAACTTAGTACATTAGCTGAGGAAGATATCCTCAAGACTAAGATTACTACATCTTTTGGACAGTCCGAGTTTTTACGCATGCCATTCGAGATGAAAAACGCAACACAGACAAGACTACTTCGGCGTGTGTTTTTTTGTACAAGGGAATACAGACAATTTGTTTTATAATGGACAGATGTAAAACGAATGAAAATGCATCAATGTAGGTATTTTTTTGGTGTCCAAACTTTATAATTCTCCGGACACAATAAACGTAGGCGGGATTATACCGATTACAGAAGAGTTAGATATCAACATGCAGTAATCCACACTAAGTTCTTGAACACAACTTAGAATTTTTTCTAGGTTCAGTTGGCTTTTGTCACAGATTCATACATCGTTGCGGACAACTAATGGAATTAATAACAAATTTTCTCAAGAGAAAACCTAAGGAATTTAAGCTGAGTTTTGAGGCTGTCAAACTCTGCCTGTGGCTCTTCTAGGGCTACTACATGCGCAAGTCATGGTACAGAAGAAGGGTTGGTCATGGGGTTGGCAAACCCATCCTGTAGAAAACAATCTTGCTAAAAAACACCAATCAGAATAAATAAGTTTAATCATTTAAACTCTGCCCTGAAAATTCTAGGAAAAATTATGACGGGTCATGATGATACACATTGAACTTTCCTTCATGTTGATATTTTACCTTTAGGCTATTCTAATTAGATTAGTAGGTTACAAAACAATTTAAAACATACCTGAAGACAGATCTATGACAGTAATTCTTGTTGTTATTATGTGCTTTCTATATTTATTTTCTCTACTTTAGTTATTAATGTCTATAATTAGCGAGTAACAGTACTAGATTCGCCCTTCATTGCGCTTTTCATTCCTAAACATGACGTTCCACCTCTTTTAGTAAGAAAATACTGGTTTCCAACTACTAATCTATATTATTATTATGGTCCCTGTAAAAAAATGTTCCAATAAAATAGTTTATAAACCACATCTTTTCACACAATGTAGCCCTATATTTTTGTTTCTTCACATTCCCATTGTTATAACTTGAGACTGCAGATAAGAAAGCAGTGATGAATTATCGATCGGACCAAAGGCGTGTAAAATACGTAAGAACGACCTGGAGTCCTGATTGGTCCTGATTCCCTGTCTAGCTCAGCCATTTGAGTCCAGAACGTAAGTCTCAGCCTCTGTGATATGAATCATCATATTTCAAGCATACTGAGTTCATATACCAATCAATCTGACCACAACGTAACAATAAAATAGAAAATAACATTTTTTACACTATTTGACCAATAGAAAAAGTCCATTTTAAGTCCAAAGATAAAATTAGGCTTAACAGAATACATTTTGGGATATTTCTCTGAATATCCCAACACCTTCCTTTTTTTGGAAGATCCCGAGTTGATATCTGGGTTATCGAAATGATCACATCTGTAAAAACTGGCATTTATTCTACAATGATTTAAAACTATGTAATTTGTTGTTGAGTTATTATTATTCATATTTTTGGACTAGAAACAAATACAGCACGATCATAGCTGTATAATATTGAAAATCAATTCAATCCATTCTATGTCCATATGTAAATGGTGTGTGTTTGTGTGTGTACTATGCCTTTCAGAGTCATTATGTTTATATGTATATTATTGTTCTTATTCTAATGTAGCGTGATTGTGTTCCGTGACACGTTTTAAGGGTGAACATCAAAAATAAACTGTCTAATTCACAGTTTATTGATAGAGAAATCATATATTTCGTAATTCATTTATATTTATATTAATGAATAATCATTACGATTTTAGTAATGGTTAGTTTACACTTTGTAAAACATGAATGAATTTTTTATCAAACCTAATGGAGTGTAAATTAGGCCTCAGCATACACAAAGGGAAACTCAAGATCTTCCAATTCAAAGCAGAGAATAGCAATCCAATCACTCTTGGCGGCGAAACTCTGGAAGATGTAGAATCCTTCACATACCTGGTCAGCTGTATCATCGATGAACAAGGAGGTTCAGATGCACATCGAAAGTCGAAGATAAGCAAAGTAAGAACAGCATTCCTACAGTTGAATAATATATGGAACTCAAAACAACTGTCAACCAATATCAAAGTGAGAATCTTCAATACCAACGTCAAGGCAGTTCTACTGTATGGAGATGAAACTTGAAGAACTATCACAACCATCATCAAAAGGGTACAAGTATAATGAAAATTTGATGAACTATGTAGCAGCAGGCATGAGACGATTTTATAAAAAATTATAAACCTCAACTTATTTTTAGTTATGTAAATAAATCAAAGTTCAATAGCATATTTTACTGATTTTCAACAATAATGACGACATAAATAGTCCATTTCATAATCATTTCAAGTAATCATTATTACTTATAAAAATGGAGTAAGTGGACAAAGGTGAATGGGCTCATGTGGTTGACACTTAAGCTAAGTGATCACTGTTTGAATGATAATACAATGCTTTCATCAAATGTGGTTTGTTCAAGACGATACGTCTGAATGTATTGCACAGTTTTGTGAACTACTAGTTCGAAAATTCAAGTCTATTACTGCTATTCATCAAGAGTTAGCGTTTTTTTAGCGAGTTAGTTTTCTACAGGATGGAGTCGCTAACCCATACCCAACTCTCCTCGTTTATCCAGGCTTAGGACTGTCAGTAGCCCCTGGAGGGACTCCAGGCGTAGTCGCTATTCATTAAGATCATCAATTATTATTAAAGCTGGAAATCATTAGTAATTTGGTTTATCAATGCTTTTATTTTATGAAGGTTCAACATAACGTTTTTTGTATGTTTTCAACTAGACGATGTTTTTTGGATTCACTTGAATAAAATACAGGTTAGACTAATCTACAGCAATCTGTTATAACTGTGAACGGCAGATTTGACGGTAGCGAATTATCGATCGGACCAAAGACGCGCAGA